AAAAGAATTTTTTAAAATTGACCTCGAGCCGGCAAAACACTAATTTAAAAATATTTTTAATTGCGGATCCAAAAGAAATATTTATTAGTTGCATTGAGTTACGCAAAAATAGTGCCGAAAATTAATCGATTGTGCTGAAGGTGCCGGCTGCTTCCGAAAGGGCCGAAAATGGCACAATGCACACTCATTTTCCATCACTGTCACACATACAATCTCACTATCCTGTTGACTTCGTTTTCCCCTTCCGATAACTTTTTGCTTCCGCGCTTGCCCAGCACCGGTGTGCAAAGCTTTGCACGCGCAGTCGCCCGCGACACATATGTGCTGATTTGGGCATCCCTACTTTAAACGAAAGCTAGGGGTTTTTCGTGCTAGATTAAGAGAATTTCCCACTGTGTGTTGCCCGAAAATTACAATCTTTGGATATTTTGTATTCCTTGCAGTGTCGGTTGCCTCATGTGTATCGTTGTGTATGTTTATTGGCTTAGTTCCATGAAAACAATTGAGCTGAAAAGGTGTTTTTGTAGAAAACAAAATATTCTTCCGCATTTTTATTTTATAACAGAGCACACACTACTGAGGTTGCCGCAATGGTTGCCTCCACGGTTGCTTCGTATGTATTGAATAAGAAAAACAGGTTGCCTCAACACGTTGCTCAACGGTTGCCTTGTGTGTAGTCAGCAGAACGGGTCTGGGTTCAACCCTAACCTAAAAAATATGGCGGATATTATGTGGCAGGCACTTTTTAGATAAGGAAAAAATCCTGACTTGATGAAGGAGCACGGAAATCAAATTCGTGTTAAACGCATCAAAATACAAGAGAAGAGAGTACATACATATGTATCGTTGCCAGATTGTGATACTTTTTTTGTGGGTCTCTGGTATGTATACAAAGCCACTTAAAAAAAAATTTGCCGCTCGGGAATCAGATGATCCTTTCCTGCGCTGAACGAGAATTAGAAGTCCCTTGTGCTCCATTATGTCAGAATTTTTTCCTAACCACAAAAAACGAGCTTCTCACATAATATCCACCATGTTTTTTGAGGTGAGGACTTCAAAAATATATAGCAGCACATATATTTCGTTCACAGATCCTGACACTAAATCGGTTATTTTGAAATATGTGTTTTATAAAGCAAATTATTCCGTTTCCAATGTTCAATGTTTATTTGAAAAAAAAAAAACTTTTAACAAATTAGCTCTTATCAATGTTATTGTGGCTTAATAACATTTCACTTTTTAATATTTTTATTGAGCTTTGTACCACGATTGTTTATTAGGAAAAATTGAAAAAGCAACAAAGTCTAAGCCGTAGAAGTTATAGCAGCTATTTCGGAGATCACCACATCTCCTCATCAGACTTCTTTATTCTAGACTTCCTAATAAACAATCGTGGTACAAAACATTAAAAAATTAGCTTTTAGTTTAATTCGCTTGCTGGGCTTAAAAACGCACCTTCAGCCTGCAAGGAAAAAGATTCCTATAGAAATGTACGATGCATGAACTACTAACAAGGGAAACTTTTTAAATTGATACTTTTTCGCCATTTTACTTTTTAGTTGATTTTGATAAGCTGGGATTAACAGACGAGTCAAACCCGTTGGGTGATTTACCACCCATATTGACCAGACAGTTCAGTCGGTCAACAGGACATTTGCTAGGAGATTTTGTGGCTCGGTACCTTCACTACAAAAGTAAGCGTGACTTAGCTGCTCAGAATAAACCGTTGGTCAAGAAATCTCCGTACTTTCAAATAAAAGAAGAGGCCCAGGAGGCAGAAAACTTGGAGCTGCCCCGACTTCCAGAACGTTTTAAGCACGTGTTTCACGGCGGGGAGAGGTAAATGTATGTACATATTGTATTTATACTCCAACATAATTACTCTATATTTTGCAGAGTTTTACTCTATGGAGCGTTAGAAGATTTATTGGGCACATTCGGTATTAATGGCAAGGCATGCTTACTACGTACCATATGTGAAGTGCACTCCCAGAGAATTGAACATTATGGAGTGTTCGGTGAAATAGCGAAACTTTTTTTAACGTAAGTTAAACTTAGAAGTAAAATATCACAGAAAAAACTTACTATTTGTTCTTAATACAGCGCTACTAGCTCACCCTTCGCTGATCTTATACCTGAATATGTGCGTGCTCAAGAGATAGGAGAAGGACACAAAGCGCCTGGTGAATGTTTTCCATATTATAAGGAGTGCTCAAAGAGTATTTTTAGAACCGCACACAAGAACATATATAGGTAAAAGAAATACTTATATAAGAATTTTCAGAACTACTAAAAGGGAAATAGGAAATAAGCGATGGCACAGCCACTGCCAGGTTTTTTGGGGTTAGGAAAAAATCCTAATGTAATGGAGCAAAACGGACTTTTGATTCGTGCTCAGCGCATAAGGAAAGAAATGTCTGATTCCCGATTGTGTGACTGTATAACTCTGTAAAATAGTGTCGGGGTTCGGGAATCAGACTATCCTTGCACACATTTTTCTAAAATACGATCGAAGGCCTCAAACGGTGAAGAAAACGGCGTATACGCCAGGGTAGATAGGTTGCTTTTGATCAGGATGCAACACCGGCTGAATTACTGAAGAACGTGAAGATACGGTTGTAGGTGCAAAATTTGTTCATCATAATTTTTCGAAATTCGCTGTAAATACGGCAAACGTAAATATTAGAATTTTAATGACATATAATTACACTGCAGTGACGCTGAAATTACAAAAAAAACACTTAGTTTTGTGTAATGTATTACGGATTTGTTACTTTTTCCCAGAGCAGGTAATTTTTCAAAGGTATTTTTTTTGTTTTAATTTGCATCGTGAATAAAGAAATGCAAACTCTAACAGGAAGCAAATTAAAAAATAGCAGTTTTTTTGTAAATTGTTTTCATTTATATAAAGGCTGATCTTTTACAAAAGTATCATGACCATATCCGTGCAGGCGTATGAGTAACATTCTTTCCTGCTCATACATATGTACAAACATAGTATGTATGTATCTCGCACACAAAAATGCCTCCTCCTTTTCATTTAATCATTCCCATTTTTATTTTTCTATGGATTTTCGTCGTTATGAGCTTAATTCTTTTCTTTAATAAAAATTCAATTAAAGAAATCTGTTATTTTTTAATTTTTTCCCTGTTATAGTTTGTATTTTTTATTCACTTGCGTCGTGAAAATAAATGCAAATATCTTTGGAAAATGACTTAATCTAGAAATAAAATTAAGATCACGTGCCTCACCGTCTTTTGTGTCACTTCAAAGCTTGAGATCATCGTGAAGTTTTCTAAGTAAAACACTATCAGCTGATTGCTAAAAAATGCCTACAACTGAGTTCACCTGTTTTTTGGCATTTGCTCTTATCTTTTACAATTAATTTAATTTCTATTACAATTTCTAATTCCATTCCTAACTATTGCAATTCCATTCTATTTCTAACTAAATATTAGGGCTATTCGCGTTTCGGTGCATAAGAGCTGACAAATTTATGCAATTGCAGAAATATGCCATCGATTGTGAGCGACCTTTATTAAACTGTCATGGTAAAGCTTTTGCAAAACAATTTTT